CCCAGGCTGGTACCCCCAACGCTGCCAGGTGGGAATGGATGGTGACAAATTTCCTCTGGACTGTAAGCAGCTTGTGGGTTGGGACTTTGTGTTATTCATCACTGGATCCCCTGGTCAGGAGCTCAATGAATCTTTGTGGAACGAATGAATGAATGAACAAATGAATGAATGAATGAATCCTGCAGTTACTGGAAGTCTGCTACAGCTCCCCTGTACTCGGGTGAGGGCAACTGGGGCTGGAGGACGATGGGGATGAGCAGCCCAGGCGGAGCCCTGTCCTGGGGGAAGATCCTGGAGTCTGGGCGAGGAAGAGGCAGATACTCACGCCGAATACGTCCTGGTCCGTTTGGTGGGCAGAGGACTGGGCAGATCCCGAGATGGGACACCACCCCGTTCCCAGACCCTGCTGCCCTCCCGATGGAAGGGGAAGGTGGGCCAGACAGGGGACTTGGGGGAGTGGAGTGGGGGCACAACTGGGGGTGACGTGGGCTCCGAAGTCATGGTGGGGCCAGCAGGAGAGCCTGGTGGGCTCTGGGGCCCAGGGGCCGGTGAAGGGCTTGGGTGTCCTTGCGGGCAGGGCCCGGCCTGGCCCCGCTCGGTGGCCTCTCCAGCCACGGGCTCCGTCTGGAAGAGGGAGAGAGAGGCATGGGTGAGTACAGTCGGGGTGGGACACAAGTCAGGAGGTCTGGTCCTGCCTGCCCCTCCTAACAGCGTGACTCCAGGCCACTCATGGCCCCTTCCTGGCTAGTGTCCCCACCAGAAAGACAGAACGGTCATGTAATCCCTAATCTTGTAGTGCAATTCTATAACTGCAGGGGCCTGGGAGGAGGTGTGGGTAGGGTGGCCGATGATCTGGAATATGGTTTGGCACAGTGTTAGTTGTTTCAAATCCACAGACCTGGGGGCTGGCTGGTTAGCTCGCTTGGTTAGAGCATGGTGCCGATAACAGCAAGGTGAAGGGTTTGGATCCATGTACTGGTCAGCTGCCCCCCAAAAACCAAAAATAAACTCACAGACCTGGGTTCAAATCTCAGCTTTGTCACCTACAACTTGGCGAGCTCAAGCAAGCCATTTGGCAGCTCCAGAATGGTAGGTAGGAGTGGGAGCTCCAGGCCCAGATGGCCTGGGTTTGAATCCTGGCTCCTTCACCCCCTGCTGTGCAGCCATGGTCAACACTCATAACCTCTGACTCCATTTCCTGCTCTGTAAAATGGGGACAGTGCTGGTTCTTATTTCAAAGAGAAGTTGCTGGAAGGATTAAATGACTTTCTGCACGCTTAGAACAGGACCAGTGCATGGTGAGCTCTTGGAAAAAATGTTGCCTATTTTTTCTTAGTTCCAGATTCTGTCTCTCTAAAATGATGTTGATAATACTTACCATGCAAGGATGCTGAGGATTCAATGATTTAGTCTGTGTGCCAGCATCTGGCATCTGTGAATACCCAATAAATTGCTATTATCAATACTAATTAATAGAAATCCCCAAGTCAACAGCTCACTACCTACATGACCTTGAGAAAATTTAGCCTGTATTTTCCTCTACTAAGGAAGAGAACATAATTCTCCCAGCCGTGCACACCCCCTGTCACTCCTCCCCAAGGGCTGGGAAGTCTTGAAGCTCAAAAGATGCTGCTGTGGGGCCGGCCCGGTGGCGCACTGGAGAGTGCGCTGCCTGGGAGCGTGGCAGCGCTCCCGCCGAGGGTTCGGATCCCATGTGGAGACCGGTTCCCG